TTTTGACCAGGTTCGATATTGAATTGTCGATATTGTAATTTTTTTAATAATATCGAAGTTTCGATATTATTCGATATCCTTTCACAGCAATATCGAAAGATTCTCGATATTCACACTAAAATATCGATACTAATATTCAAACTTTAATAAAAATCAACTGTTATACTCTAAACTGTCCTTCCTAAAATTTCCCAGCTAAACTTTCCCGCCAAACTGAAAAGTAATTAAAAATGCTAAAAATTAAGTGTAAATTAAAAATTGGGTAAAGCTACAGTTAAGCGGCCTAAAATAATTATATTTTTTCGCTTTTTAAAAACACGATGGAGAGTATTTTTAAAGCGAAACTTAATTATGTTATGTAATAATAAATGTTACGGGTTGTGAATTTGAAATTAAAAGATTTAATTAAAAGTTGAAGTTTTATATTAAAGTTGAAGGTAAATAAATAATAATTATAATCAAAGTAAATATAAATTTTAATCAAAGTAAATTATAAGTAAATTATAATCAAAGTTTAATTATTAAATATAATAATTATAATCAAATTATAATCAAATTAAATTATAATCAAGGTAAATTATAATCAAAGTTTTGATATTATATTAATAAATATATTTTTATAAATAAAATATAATATAATAGTAATAAAATAAAAAAAAAAAATAATAGCAAATAATATATAAAAAATAATAAGAAAACAATATATATAATAAAGCATAAAACATTAAATTCCGCGAACAACTTATTTCTAAACAATAAATTTACTTTGCTCTTATTAGAATAAAATAAATCTTCTTTGCTTTAATATTTTGTTAATATTTTAAAGTCTCTACGAACGAGAGCGCAAAAAGCGAAACAGTAAATTTATTTTAGACCGCTTAACTGTAGCTTTACCAAAAATTGATGTCTTAATTTTTGTTCAATACTCAAATACTTTTGATATAACCTTATAAATATTTTTTTCAAAATTAGTTACTAATAGAAGTTATAAGTGAGAAAAGTTGTGATATTTTTTGTTGAAAATGCCAAGAGTAAGTCCCTTTTGGACGTATTTTTTAAGAGACACACCAAAAAAAGATATTGCTCAGTGTAAGCTATGCCCAACACAAATAGACACCAAACAGAGCACTACGACTGGTTTGAAGGTTCACATCAGAGGTTGTCATAATGAAATTTTTCTCAACATTGGGAAAGAAAATTTAAAACGAGCACCAGAAACAACAGCTGAGCAGCTTGCACAAGAATCAATTTTGGACACTCATGGGCCAATAGCTCAAGTGCAAAAAGAGTAAAGATGGACATTTCATCGTATTGCAAGGTTGTGACAAAATATGGAACAAACGACAGGCGACAGTTAATAGCTGACTTGGATATTGTGAAATATTTGTGCATGGGAAATTTAGCTTTTCAACATGTTTCGTCACCTGCTTTTAAAGACTTTTTATTAAGCCTTCGTCCAGAAATTATTATTAGAGCACCATCAACAAATTCAAGAAACAAACTTCCAATCCTTTATTCTAATGTTTTTGAGGCAGTTCTTTATGTTTTAACACATGACTTAAAAGATGTAGATGCAGTTGGATTTACTTCAGATCTTTGGTCCAGCAAAAGCAATGAGTCATTTGCAGCCTTGATGCTTCATTATATTACAACTGGCTTTGAACTAAAGACATTTTTGCTGGGCTGTAATGCTTTTCCAGACAGCCATACAGGTGACAATATTTCAATTAAAACAGACACATTAATTTCTGTTCTACCTTTCAATAATGGTTGTAAAATGACTTCTGTCACAGATAGTGCAGCAAACATGATATCTGGGATGAAAAAATCGGCCAAAATTGATGAAAGTATTTCCTGCATTGCACATTTACTTCACCTTGTTATTATCAAATCTGTCAAAGAAGTCGATGAGATTGAAAAAGTTTTTCAGGTAAAAAAAATGTTTAGTCATTTTTTCCTCTTGTTTACGAAACTATGAAAAATGCGATAGTCTATTTTCTCAATAGTAAAAAATTTTAAAGAATGCATCAATACCATTTACCTGCATAAAGGTGCAACCAACAAATGAATAACTTTTAAATCCTATGTTTTTTTTTTGTTTATATATTTTTTTTAACCAAAATAATTTTTTATTTCAAGGTGTGCAAAACACTCTCAGCACGAACTCACAAATCAATCAACAGTCAACAGAGAATTATGGAAGCATGTAATGATGTCATACCTGAGAAAATCAAATTTAATAAAATTATTTCTCCTTGTCCTACACGTTGGAATAGTGGTTTTATGTGCATGGATTCAATATTAAGGTGAGTTTCCACTCATCCGTTTTTTCGCGGGAACGGGAAAGGGAAGGGAAAAACAATCACGTGGGCATGCGTATTATAAGTTTTAAATTGTCCGAAGTAAAACTGCGCATGCTCACGTGATTATTTTTTACTTTCCTATACCGTTCCTGTAAAAAAACGGATGAGTGGAAACTCACCTTTACATTTACGATTAGCTCTTGAAATAATTGCAAGCAGCAACCTTAAAACGGACGACATTTTAAGGGCTTTAATTCCATCTTCTGATGAGTTTGATGTTATTGAAAAAGTAGTGCCGATCATGAAACTGTTTAATGATTTTACAGAGGTTGTTTCATCTGAAAAAATCCCAACTTCTCAGAGAGTTGTTCCAGGACTGTTTGATATTCAAGAGAATATTAAAAAGCTTATACTGCTAAATGACAAAATCACAGGAGACTTTGTTTCTAAACTCCTTTCAAATCTTAACAAACGATTTCCAGACTGTGGTTCAAGACAAAAAAACAATGCTTTAGCTCACTTACTTGATCCCAAATTTAAGGGTCTCCTTTTGAAAAAGGTTTGGCCAAGACGATGTCGCACTCAGAGATTTAAAAGAAATTTCAATAGGAAAGCAACCATCAAATTTGATTGAAAATACAACACAAACAGTGTCACCCAAACAAGATTTGTCTCCTGCCGAACAACTTCTTTTTGAAATGATGGGTCAAGATTCTAATGCCTCTGAGCTTTACAGATCATCAAAAGATTCTCCATTTGATATAGAACTAGAAGCTTACAAGAGGCTTGGATTTCCAGATAAAAATAACAATATTTTGGAATGGTGGAAAATTCATTCACCTCAACTTCCAATTTTGTCTAGAGCTGTCTTCTAAGTCTTGTGTGTCCCAGCGTCATCAACTTCTTCAGAGCGTGTGTTTTCACAAGCCGGAAATATTGTGTCATGTAAAAGAACTTTACTAAAAGCCGAGACAATAGAAAAACTTGTGTACGTTAAAATCAACATTAGTAAAGTTACTATTAAAAAATGGCTTATCGAGGAAGAAAATGTTTCATCAGCTGACGCGATAGACTAATTTTTGTTTTGTAAAACTGTTTATGAAAAAATATACAATTAATTGAGCTATAATTTTTTTTCCAAATTGCGTCATAAACATATTTCAAATATTGAAGATAACTTACGGTATTAGACCCTTCAAATTCCTCTAATTAGAAAAAATGGGTCTTGAACACAAAAATAGCATTCTAAAATTCTAGAATCTCGTTTAATATCGTATAATATCGTAAAATATCGAACTGAATATTGATAAGTTCGAAATTCAGTAAAAATATATCCAGTTTCAATATCGAAGTTCGATACTGTGTTTATGTAATATCGTAGTATCGACAATATCAACTATTATGAATATCGCAATAGCTTAATATATATATATATATATATATATATATATATATATATATATATATATATATATATATATATATATATATATATATATTTATAAATTAGTAGAACTCCACCTAATTTTTTTTTTCATTTAACACTGTGTTTTATCAAAAAAAGGGGCCGTCCGTAATGGACGTCGCCATCTTTTAGATGAAACACACACTCCCTCCCCCGCATTTGTCTTATGATAGTGCTAATGGTAAGACCAAATGCATAAAAAAATTGAAAATTTAAACTATATTGGTCCCAAAGAAAAATCAATTGAATAGGCTTACGATGGTGCATCAGTTATCAAGAAATGGAGAAGAAATGGATGGTGCATCAGCATCAAGAAATGGAGTCCAAAAGTTTAATAAAAGAAGTTTTTCAAAATGTCTATTATGTTTACTGTTATGCACATTAATTGTAGTTACTTGAAAAAATGTTTGTTTTTTTAACAAGTGAATAAGAACATTTTTACTTTAATTAATTTCCACGTGTCTTTCACATCCTCACCGAAACAAAAATTGCAACACGAAATTAATTTACTTTTCGAAAATAGTTTTAAACAGATTTCAAGAGTTTGTAAAACATAATGGAATTTTTGTTTAAAAATAGTTAGTTGCAAACATAAAAATAGAAAGAATTTAACTTTTTTCATTCAATTTTAAAACATGTTAATGTTCTTTACAATATATTGTAATAAAATAAGAGCAACTATAATTGTTCTTCTATTTGTTCAGAATGAACATTTACCTTTCCTTTTTAAAGCAGTTTAGATCTATCTTCTACAATATCGCGCCAATCGTTTACATTAGAAAAAAGTAATTAATTGCATTTCAAATAAAATTAAATCACGAGTTCCAACAGCAAGATTTACTTAAGTTTAGTAGAAAGTTAGTCATGGCATGTATTTAAAGAAACTAATCATACACAATATTTTTTTATTCTTCAAAATAATCTTGCATAATGAGCACGAAATAAAAAAAGATCGAAACTAAATCAGCAAAATGGTGCAGATTGGAAAAAAATACGATTTATTATTGGCATATGGGCCGGCCATTATCCAACAGTATCAAAGTATGGACTGAGCATAGAGAACTTATTAGGACCGTTGATTTCAAACGCAGCGAGATTGATTTAATAAACGTTTTACAGCTACAAAACATTAACCAAAAAAGAGTTTGGGGGAAACGTTTTATCAATAAATTTTTTACTTAAACAATATTTTAAACTCGGAACTCAATTTCACACACAAAAAACACTAAGTGTTCAAATACTACGACCATTTCAAGTTTAAACCTATTCTATCAAAAATTTACATTAACAAAACAGTGCAAACATGCTAAATATACTTTAACAAAATAGTGCAGTCATTTACAACAACTTTAAGTTAAGAATAACTCTAACAGAAAAATATAATTTCACATTACAAGACAGTAATGTCTACATTACGTTACAAGTAGATATTCACATCGGTAGATAAAAAAAGGTAACTATGACCATGTAAAGTTCTTCGAGGTGGATGGAGGATGACAAAATATGTTTTGTTTGGTTTCCCAGGAAACAAAATCATAACGCCACCATTTTTCATCTTTAAAATAAAATGCGTTATAGCATTCTTTGTCTACAGCAAACACGTCATGACCGTAGGTAACAGGATTTGTTAATACACTGTTACTAGATTGTGTATTAGATTTGTATGCACAACGGTCTATATTCATGTAGTATCTGACTCCTAAATAAAAAATAAATTAGATATTTCAAAATCGCACATTTGTATTAAACCTAATTTTTATGAGTTGTAAACATTGTTTCAACTTTATTATAAATTTATTTAGAAAAGGAAAAGTTGTTGCTATTTTATTAAAAGAATGGCAGGTTATGTTCATTGTTGTCATGTTATCAGTGATGATCATATATATATGATAACCACTCGTAAGTGGTAGCAGGGTGATCATATATATATATATATATATATATATATATATATATATATATATATATATATATATATATATATTATATATATATATATATATATATATATATATATATATATATATATATATATATATATATATATATATATATATATATATATATATATGTAAAACCTTATATATATATAACCTTATATAAATTAAACCTATTTATTTATATATATAACCTTTATCAACAATTTTTAAACAACTATTCAAACACCTATATAGGAAAACTGTATCTTAGAATGCGTTGAAATATTAATTGTAAAGGTAAAAAATAAATAGCAGTAAAAAAATTGCTTTTTTGTTTACGACAATCGATTTCCCCCGTCCCCCTTCCAAATTAAATTTTAAAACTGCATGCAAAAGATCGGCATTTTATCCTGTTTTTTTTTGTATACTTAAAAACATTTATATACTTGATAAATATTTTTTTATTTTTTTTATTAATGATTATAACAGTTTTACAGTTTTATTAGTGAAAAACTTCCAGCAATGTAAAGACCGGAAATACTGTGAATAAAAAGTATAAACAGCTACAAAAATTTATTTTAGTAAATATAATTAGCATATATAAGCAGGCTGTTTAAATATACTGTTACATTATATTAGTAATTAACTTAAGTGAACAAAATTTTTCAATTAATAATATTTCATACATAAGTTAGCTTTTATCTTAAAAACCTGTTTTTCTCTCAATTATTTTTATTAATATCTAAATATATGTTGTATATTCAAAAACAAAAGCAATTTGTAGTTTGTTGATAAACATCTGATACAAGGTATAGATATACCATTTATCAGGTTATAATAATCTGATAAAATGTATCAGATTTTTTTAAACCATGATGTTTGGATTAAGTTTATCTAATTAAAGCCATAATCCAAGGAAGCATTTAAAACAGGTTTCAGATGTAATGATTTGCGAAATTGATACTGCAAGCATTGCGGTATGCAAAACTGCTCAGTTTTATAGTTTTATTAAATTATTTGTGCTGGGAAGTATCAAAAAGAATGTAAAAGCAACAAACGCTTTGGTGATGATGATAGTTTTAGTTAATTTCTAAAAATCCTTTTGCATTTTGATTATATCTCTATTTCAAAAATTATTTTTGTTCCTAATAGTTAATATACTTTTTTAAACTTGAATTTTATTTATCGTTTTTCAAGATAATTTCATATAACCTTCATAAAAAAGATAAATCAACATATAAAAATAATTTATTTTATTAGTTTTGATAAAAATCACCTTAATTTCCTTATATGCTTTATATTCATTTTGAATAAACTAAGGTGTAGAGGTATATAGTAGTTCTAATGGTTTAAGATTATGTCATGCTATTGGTTTAAGATAAAGTTAAACTTATGGTTTACTATTTAATCCACAATATCTAAAGCTAATCTGTTTAACAAGTTATTTTAATTGATAGGACAGTAGTCAACTTTTTTTTTTTTTTTTTTTTTGGCATTTTAAGGCTGTACTTTACGACTTATCTGCCTGCAATAAGATTAAAACCACCTCCAAGTACAAGCTAATATAAAATATTTTTCATAGTAGCATGTTTTTAAAAAAAAATTTTTTTAAATTATTTTTGAAGATTGCTTAATGCTGGTTTTTACAAAAATTTTATGAGTCAAAAACTATTTCACATATAGATTTTTAGTTTTTTAATAGTTAAAATTTATTCATGAGTATAATTAATATTGGAATGTTCATTGTTTGAAATAATTTTTCTTTAAATATCAATTTGATATTATTTTATCAATTTGCCAGTATAATCTCAAGATATAATTAAGAAATGATAGGATGAAATTTATAGACTTCCAATATTGACATAAAATTATATGTAATTATATGTAATTATATGTTGTTTGTGACGCAAACAACTCCAACTTGATGTTATTATTCTTAATATTAAAACGCTATTTTGTAATTATTGAATTTATAAATGGTTTCATTTTTGGAATTGATTTTTTTCAGATTTTATGTATTTGTCAGCGAGGTTTAACAAAAACTTAAATTTTAAAGTTTACTTTTTCAAACAAAACGGAGGAATAAGATTGTGTCTCTAAATATCTTTATTTAGTTTAAAGTTGAATATTATATTATAATATAATAATATTTTATAATAATTTGTGTTATAATATATTTGCTACAGCATATAAATAAAATTTGCATTGTGTAACTTTGATTTAATAATAGTAATGTGTTAATATAACTTTTAATTATAAATTTGTAAATAATGCGTTAATATATAATTCTACAATCGTAAAATTCCCCAGTCATATCATTGCATATTTTTAAGGGAAGAAAAACTATAAATAGATTAATTTAAAATTTATATGAAGAAAAACTCTAAATAGATTAACTTAAAAAATTAAATAGATTGACTAGATTAATAGATTAAATAGATTAACTTAAAATATTAAATAAGTTAAATGTAAAGAGGAGGCCAAAAACTTCTTTTAATTTTTTTTTGGTGCAAAAAAAAAATTAAAATTAAAATTTAATTTTTATTACCAAAATAAAAGTTCTAAAAATTGAAACAAAAAAGGCAACTTTTGATTACTATTCAAAGAATCCAACTTTTATTTATTTTTCCAATGCATCCTATATCAATGACTCTATACATTGTATAAAAATACATTGTACATAAATACATTGTACATAAGAACATTGTACATAATAACATTGTACATAAGAACATTGCACATAAGAATATTGTATATAAAAATAATCAACATAAGAACATTGTTCATAAGAATATTGTACATAAGAACATTGTACCTAAGAACATTATACATAAAAACTTTGTACATTTGTAAAAAACTTTAATAAGTGTTTTGCTACTTTGCGCAGCTTTTAACAGTAAAAATAAAAAATCAACATAGTTACACGTTTGGTTATCTAGAAATTATGCTCCGAAACAAATAAGTTTGAAACTTTACTCTAACTTTGAGCAGAAATGTCTTTTAATACCATTACTTAATATAAGTTTCTTAAGTAATTTTGTATGCCACTAAAGCATGTGTTAATTTTCTTGTAAAAAAAAATCATATGCATACAAGAGCCTGGAAAGGAGTAGGCTGTCAAAATAAATACTCTCTTACTCTCAGAGTGACTAGACTGAGTTAGAGAAAGCACACTGATACTAGTTAAGTTGAACATATTGGTATACCTATAACCGCATTATACAAACCTATTCATAACATTAGTCTTACTATTGTCCGAACCTTTCCAAAACTATTACCATGTAGATATTCATCATGTTTGATAATTGTTGCAAATACCCCAGTTTGGTCAGTAACTGCACAAAAAGAAGCATCTTTCCTAACTTGCAAAACTCATTAAACATTATATAGTGGTTGTAATACCAACAAAAAACCTCTAATTTTTCTTACCGTTGATCTAAATGTTCTACGAATCTCTCGTTTGCATCTTCGATGTGACGCACCTAAATGTTACATTTCTTAAGCTCTCCCTGGACTCGGTAACTCTATTCGCCTTGTTGTCAGCCATAATTTTATCTAAATAAAACATGCCTACCCCGTCTATGTAAAGTTACAAACCACTCCATTAAAATAGGAGAGTAGCATTAATTAGAGGCGCTGACCTCAAAAAACTAAATCAAATTGCACCATGATATCCAAACCACATGCCCTTATATCTACAATGCAGTATTAGCTGCTCAAGATTTCTGCCAACAACTAAAAACTTCAATACTTAGTAACCCCAAACCTTGGATAACCCCCTATATTCAAAGCTTAATAAAAATACGTCAAAAATATATTAATGTTGGTTCCTATATTGAATAAAAATAGATAGCTGCAAAAATAAATAAACTTATCATCAAAGAAAAAAATATTTTATAACAAAAGCTATATATCTGGCAACACTGATTTTTGGAAAGAAGCAAAACAATAAAATAAATCTATATATATTTTTGAAATTATAACAAATATTTTTGAAAGTATAACAAATAACAAATAAACTAAACAATCATTATCATAATGTTTGTAAAGATAAAAATGCTTATGATATCTCAATTTTTATTAACATGAATGCAGATCAACCTGCAAACTCCATCTTTATAAACAATAATATTTTAACCCAACTAAGCAAATTAAAGTCTGGATCGCCAGGACCTGATAATCTGTCTCGAATTCTGTTAAAATCATATATAATTGATTTGATTGAGTTAAAATCATAATTTAAAATCATAGTTGATCGATTAAAATTATAAATTATAGTATTATATTATAATATATTATTTATATATTATTATACAGTATTACAGTACAGTACAGAATACATATATTATACATACAGTATATACAACTCAATGTAGTTAAAATCATAAATTGATTGATTGAGTTAAAATCATATATAATCAAATCACAAAAAATCAAAAAATCTGCATCGCTCTGTATTCAATTTAATAAATATTGAATGCAATCATACTCCAGATTAGTGGAAATCAACTCACTTAACACCTATACCTATAATAGAAAATCCATTTTCTATGGGAGATTATATTTAAGGAGTAGCTATTACGACTGCTGTGCTTAAAAAACGTATCTTGAACATATTTATTGTTAATCAATCAAAGCATATCTTGCCCACAAACAAAAAATTTGAGTTCCTTCCTGGACATAGTAAATTAGATTCTATACTTCAAGTAATAGAAGACTTCATCTTCTTAAAAGACAATAAAGTGTCAATATCTTTTTTTATTTTTAAAAAGTCTTTTAA